CCAGTCTATCTCTCAATATCGACCCATTGCTCTCTGTCCCGTACTTTACAAGATAGCAGCCAAGGTTATTACTAACCGTTTGCGGAGCTTGATGGATGAGCTGATTAGTGATGAACAGAGCGCTTTTGTCCCCGGCCGCCTGATAACGGATAATATATTGGTTGCTTATGAGAGTATTCATACAATGAAGCGGATGAAGAAGGGGAATAATTATATGTGCGCTGTTAAACTAGACATGATGAAAGCTTACGACCGAGTGGAATGTCATTATCTCGAATCCATTCTACTAAAGCTGGGCTTCAACGTCGTTTTTGTTCGACTGATAATGAAGTGTGTCACCTCGGTGCGCTTCACAGTTCGAGTCAATGGAGAACTCCTACCATACTTCACCCCTTCACGGGGCCTGAGGCAGGGGTGCCCTGCGTCATCGTTTTTGTTTCTTCTGTGTGCAGAAGGACTGTCCTTGTTGCTCAACTCGTATGGTGGATATATTGATAGGGGCATCCGTGTGAGCTTCAGATCACCATGGGTTAACCACTTACTGTTTGCTGATGATTGTCTGGTTTTCATGAAAGCGGATAGTCAAAGTGCAACAAGACTCAATGATATTCTTCACATCTATGGGGAGGCATCGGGACAGAGTGTAAATCGTGGAAGAAGTTCAGTATTTTACAGTCCCAATACTCCTCACCAGTTACGTGAGGCAGTTAGGATTTTGCTGGGTGTTCCTGTCGAGGCTTTTGGCGAGCGCTATCTTGGCCTGCCGACAGCAATAGGCAGGATCACGAGTGGCACCTTTGTTTATATGGCTGAACGGGCGCGCACACACATGCGGGGGTGGTCCGAGCGACTACTAGCTTGTGCTGCGAGAGAAGCGCTCCTAAAATCCGTGATCCAAGCAATTCCTACCTTCAGCATGTCGTGCTTTCTCTTGACCAAGAAAGTATGCAAGACTCTCACATCAGGTATGGCTAAGTTCTTTTGGAGCAGTTCCATTGATCGGCGGTCTATGCATTGGATATCATGGGATAAACTAGCTACACCGAAATGCAAAGGTGGAATGGGCTTTCGTGATCTCCGCTTGTTCAACCTAGCTCTTTTGGGGAAGCGCAGATGGCGCTTTATGACTAACCCCAACTCTCTATGTGCCCGGGTTTTGAAGGGCCGTTACTTCCCAGATTGTGAGTTTCAGCTCGCCACAGTACCAAAAGCCGCATCTGCTACTTGGCGAGTCATCGTTGCCGATCGAGAGGCGCTCGATGCTGGCCTTATCAAACGCGTGGGCACCGGTTCAACCATATCCATATGGGAGGATCGATGGATTCCGTCGACAGTATATATGACTCCCATGCTGAGACCTCAAAATGCATCTGTTGAGTTGGTTAGTGAGTTGATCGACACTGACAACTGGACATGGAAGACGGAGTTAGTACATGAGCTATTTATCGGTCCCGATGCACAAGCTATTCTGAATATACCTTTGCACCAGGGGGTGGTGATGATTTTATGGCATGGGCACACGAGAAATCTGGCATCTACACAGTTAAATCGGCGTACCAGTCTCTAGTGAACAAAAAAGAGCGTTTTGCTCTCGAAGAAGGGACGGGTATTGGGTCTTCAACTGACAACACAGAGCTGTGGCGTGCCTGATGGAAACTCAATGTGATCCCTAAAGTTCGGGTCTTCTACTGGCGAGTCTTGAGAGGAATTATTCCGGTTGAATGTACCTTAAAGCATCGCCATATTCAGGAGATCGGAAGATGCAAAATCTGCATGGCCATGGATGAGGATTTAGCTCATGCACTCATTCATTGTTCGCATGCAAAGCAATTCTGGGTGCAAGCTCAACAACTACTTGATTTCTCTCTACCGAAGCTACACCCAAGCACTTGGTCTCGCGATATTTTATGTGACCAGCTTTTCTCAGAGAAGAAGCGAGCGATCATAGTCACAGTGATGTGAGCGATCTGGCACTCCCGGAATCGTCTCACACATGATCAGGAGAAACTTGACCCGTCTACTTCTGTGAGACGCATTAAAGAAGATCTAGCGATCTTGGATATACCTCGGTCAGACCTAAAAATTCTGCCAGGTTATGGGTGGCGGCCCCCTGATGGAACGATCATCAAAATAAATACCGATGCAGAAATTCATCTAGATGGCGGCAATGGTGGAGCAGGGGGGTGGCGCGATCATCTGGTCGCCTCTTGGGAGCATGGAGCAAACCCCTTGTGGGGGTCACGGACCCCCTTATAGCTGAAGTGATGTATGTACGGGAAGGCGTGCGCTTTGCGAATCTCAGAGGATTTCAGGTGGTGATCATTGAAATAGATTGTCTGGAGGTTGTGGAACTCTGAAAGAATCGTCACAATTCGTTCGCGGTTGTGGCACCGTTGTTTTATAAGATAGGAGAGCTAGCTACTGTTTTTTTTTCTTATTTTGATATTCTTCATGTAATCCGGTCAGCAAACTATCCAGCTCATCTCTGTGCCAAGCGTGCTTGCACACTGAGTATGACTGAAAATTGGCTGGAAAAGACCCCTAGCTTCCTGGTGAGTAGCCTATTGGCTGACGATCCAGCGAATACTTTTGTTTGAATAAAGCTCTCACTATTGCTCGCAAAAAAAAAACAGTAATACTACACGTACGGATATTTACAGGTTGAGACTAATTACAGGCTGACATGGCATGGTTTGATTGGCAAGAAGGAGAGGAAGCGGGGCCACCCCGGTGAAAATCAGGGGGGCCGAAGAGAATTAGTGAAGGGCTTCCGTAACTTGCATGTAATAGGCCTGTAGGTCTAGGCCCCGCTTTCTCCCCTTCTTGCTAATCAAACCATGCCATGTCAGCCTGTAATTAGTCTTAGCCTGTAAATATCCGTACGTGTAGCATTACTGCGACAACATTCCAATGAGCGACAACAGCTACACTAGCAGAGAGAGCCGCGTATTCTCCTTTTTTCTGCACCTGTGATTACCAGGTCGTTTCAGGTTTGGATCCAGATCGGGTGCGGGCCAACACACTTGATTCCTATTAGCAGTTAATTAGTATAAAAGACAACAGTACCCTTT